GATGTCCTGTTGAGCTCAGATGAATCTGACACGCTTTAGAGAGAAAGCATGAGAATCCCTTCACAGGTTCTGAAAGATCTGTTTATTTGCATTCAGTTTTCATCAGTCTGATGTGGACCATAATATGACCAATCATCAGCATAATTGGCCCCAAATTGAAGCACTGTTGTACCATGTGCTTTTATAAAGGGATTATTCTCTCTACTTACTTATTTGTTAGTTTGTGTTTTATTACCTAATAAAAAAAATACTGAACTTTGGGAACTTGTTTACTAGGATCACTATGAAAATTGGCCAGTAAAACAAATTGTGGGATTTTCTCATAAGCTCGGGTAATAATTTGATCTTTCTCATAAATCTGCTGGTTTGCTCAAGCTCAGAAGGTCAAAAAAAGGCCACAGCAAGCCTGATAAAGAGCAAAAGCAATTATTTTTGTCAGGCTATTAACACTCCTTTTTGTGTTCAGATCAATCTGTTATATAATTATGTTTCTGAACTGAAATATTTTGGTAACACTTTAGTTAAAGCCTTTATGTATAATGCATTATAAAGGGTTATTATATGGTATGATGCTGTGTAATTATTCAAAATGTGCATTTTAAGACATTGTATCTTGTCATAAATAATTATAACATGCATAGTGTAACAATGAATTGATAAGTGTTATAATGTATTAACTATCGTTACAATTATTCATGAGATTGTACAATGCATTATAAGGTGCATTACAGGGCATAATTAATGCAATAAAACTTATTTTACAATGCATTAAACATAAAGACTTTAAGTAAAGTGTTATATTTTTTATTGCTATTATTTAAACGTCTACTAAAAAAAATGTAATATTGAAGATAAAGATTGAATATTAAAATGTAATTCTTGAAAAGCATCTTTATTGCCCTTAAAAATAAATAAATAAATAAAAGAAGTGCACAGTTGTACTGTATAAAATAGCATGCAATTAAGTGTGTGAAAACATTGCATCCATATCATCTTATGTAAAGAATATAAAAGAATATTCTTTCTGTAATAATTACTTTTTTTAAAGTATGCTATATACTATTTTTGACAAGGTGAAGTTGAATTAAATGCATTGCTGAATGAATTTAAATGAACACTTGTATTAAAAAGCAGTAGTAGTAGTAGTAGTTTTACTTTAAAGTATTAATATTAAAAAAAAAAAAATGTCAGTGTGGTACAACCAACATGCAAGAAGTTGATTTGTTGTCATGTTACAACAAAACCGCAAAACAATTTAACCTTTTCATGAAACGGGCCATGCAATATTAGTGCAGGACCACATGTCAGGTGATAAAAACCCCAGGGACATTTTTGATACTCATAATGCTTAATAACTGATGATATTTGTAGTTTTTACTTTGTCCACTGATATGTATTAAATTAATCAGAAAGCACAGTACTGCTTACTTGATTGTTACTTCATAGTACAAAAGTTTTTTTCAAAACTGTATGAAACCAACATAAAAGCACAAGAAAAAAAAATCAGAATTTTTAAACAATTTTTTTAATCTGAAACATCCAAATTTGTTAAAGACTCAAACATAATTCAATTAGAAAGAGGATTTATACGAAACACAAATGCAAGAGTGATGCTAAACATCAACAGTGTGTTTTGTGAACTTGTGTCTGTTTGGGTGTGGGTTTTTTATTTGTGCGTGTGGGCTGTAAAGTGAACTGAAAGTAAATGATGTCAGATCGGTTTCTTTCATCAAGACTGAATAATTAACAAGCCGACGGCTCTGTACACCAAGCCAGCAGAAAGCATCTCTCTCTCTCTCTCTCTCTCTCTATCGTTACAATTATTCATGAGATTGTACAATGCATTATAAGGTGCATTACAGGGCATAATTAATGCAATAAAACTTATTTTACAATGCATTAAACATAAAGACTTTAAGTAAAGTGTTATATTTTTTATTGCTATTATTTAAACGTCTACTAAAAAAAATGTAATATTGAAGATAAAGATTGAATATTAAAATGTAATTCTTGAAAAGCATCTTTATTGCCCTTAAAAATAAATAAATAAATAAAAGAAGTGCACAGTTGTACTGTATAAAATAGCATGCAATTAAGTGTGTGAAAACATTGCATCCATATCATCTTATGTAAAGAATATAAAAGAATATTCTTTCTGTAATAATTACTTTTTTTAAAGTATGCTATATACTATTTTTGACAAGGTGAAGTTGAATTAAATGCATTGCTGAATGAATTTAAATGAACACTTGTATTAAAAAGCAGTAGTAGTAGTAGTAGTTTTACTTTAAAGTATTAATATTAAAAAAAAAAAAATGTCAGTGTGGTACAACCAACATGCAAGAAGTTGATTTGTTGTCATGTTACAACAAAACCGCAAAACAATTTAACCTTTTCATGAAACAGCAATATTAGTGCAGGACCACACCGACGGCTCTGTACACCAAGCCAGCAGAAAGCATCTCTCTCTCTCTCTCTCTCTCTCTGGCTCTCATGCACACTGGGTTTTGTCTCCATCATTTTCTCACCTACTCTTCCTCTTTCCTCTCAGTCTCTCTCTGTCGTCGTTCTCCAACACCCCCTCCAAACGGTGCGCGAGACGTAGCGTCTCCCGAGCCCTGATCTCTTAGATGAGAGAGAGAGCGAGAGAGCTGCAGCCAGCATGAGGAGAGAGACGCTCTCGCAGACAGCGCTCTAGTGCCGCTCGCTCATCCTCCATACCGTCGTCTTCATCCTTTTGGGAATGCCTCTGTCCTCCCCATCTTCTGTCTCTCCGGATCCATCCATCACTCCTTGGCTCTAAGTGGTGCAGAGTGCGGTGGAGGCGTGATACATGGCAGCCAGGTTAGTCCAGACAGACGTGTGTGTTGTTCTGTGCAGGTTCTGCATGGGTTACGTTGTGTGTGAGCGTCGAGGCGACATAATCGCTGTCTCGGGTTCAGAGCGACGTGCTCTCGTCTAAGCCTCTTAATGCAGATTGGGTTCTTTCCGTCACTTGTCCGCCTGTCTCTCTCTTGCTCTCTCGCTGTCTGGCGTGTGTGTGTGTCGCTCTAACGTGAGGGGGAGTGTGTGTGAGTGTGTGTGTTTTGATTCGGCAGCAGGAATAGGGTGTGGCACATGGGTTCTGTAACTCCCACACTGTGTGTGTGTGTGTGTGTGTGTGTCCATCTGTCTGTCAACACTCACATCTGTTTACTGCATCACTGCATTTTCATTCAAATTTACATATAGTAAAGTAGCTATCTATTTATAAAAAGTTACCTTGCAGTGCTACTTCATGAAAATTAATTTTGTTGGTATGAATGTGTTTAGTTTGATTCAGTGATGTTAAATAGTATTTCTGGCTTGAATAAGACACTGTATGAAACCAACATAAAAGCACAAGAAAAAAAATCCGAATTTTTAAACAATTTTTTTAATCTGAAACATCCAAATTTGTTAAAGACTCAAACATAATTCAATTAGAAAGAGGATTTATACGAAACACAAATGCAAGAGTGATGCTAAACATCAACAGTGTGTTTTGTGAACTTGTGTCTGTTTGGGTGTGGGTTTTTATGTGTGCGTGTGGGCTGTAAAGTGAACTGAAAGTAAATGATGTCAGATCGGTTTCTTTCATCAAGACTGAATAATTAACAAGCCGACGGCTCTGTACACCAAGCCAGCAGAAAGCATCTCTCTCTCTCTCTCTCTCTCTATCTATTCTATCTATTGTGTGTTTTATTTTTTTAATTTATAAATGAAATGTTATATTACATTTTATTTTGTATATTATACAGAGGACAAAGCTGTCACTTGGGTGCTATCTTAAGATGTAAAAAACTAAAAAGGTACTAATATGTACACTTTAGGTATTAATATGTACTTTTAAAATACTACAGTAATATGCACCATTTATGGGGTCAATTCTGTACAATGATGTACCTTTTAGCTTTTTTACTGAGTACTGCCCCAGTGACAGCGTTGTACTTTTTTCTGATAGCGGTGTGTGCATGTATTCTTGTTAATGTGTGTTTTTAAGATGAACCAAGCTATAGTTGTTCAGTCTGTATTTTTAGCTGTATATTAACAGCAGGTGTTGTTTACATTTCCATCCTGAAACAGACAGACAGACAGGTTGAGTGACACAGGTCTGATCTGGCTCATGGTTAAACCTCAGAGTGTTTGTTTGAGAGTAAAAGCGCACATCCACACTCATAAACACATGCATTCTCTCAGACATGTTTTCCAGTTACAAGATGTAAACATTCTGAAGACAAGATTTTTTGTAAAGAATATATCATAATGTTTGAGTATATATATATATATATATATATATATATATATATATATATGTTTGTTTGTTTTTTTTAACTTGCTTTTTGCTAAAAAAAAAAAAACCTGTTTACTAATGGGCTAAGAAAACGGTTTTGTGTAAGGTGCAGCCTGACTGGTTTCCTCTCTCAGCAGACTTTTAGAGCTTGGTGTGTGCGTGTGTGTGTGTTTGTTTGTGTGTGTGTGTGTGTGTTTGTGTGTGTGCGCGTGTGTGTGAAGTGACATGAGTGAAGTGACATGTGGCCAAGTATGGTGACCCATACTCGGAATTAGTGCTCTGCATTTATCCCATCCTAAGTGCACACACACAGCAGTGAACACACACAAACCGTGAACACACACCCGGAGCAGTGGGCAGCCATTTATGCTGCGGCGCCCGGGGAGCAGTTGGGGGTTTATGCTGCGGCGCCCGGGGAGCAGTTGGGGGTTCGGTGCCTTGCTCAAGGGCACCTTGCCGTGGTATTGAAGGTGGGAGAGAGCGCTGTACATTCACTCCCCCCACCTACAATCCCTGCCAGTACAAGACTCGAACCCACAACCTTTGGGTTATGAGTCCGACTCTCTAACCATTAGGCCACGACTTCTGTGTGTGTGTGTAAGAGGGGTCCTAGCAGTTGGTAATTATTCACGCTCAGCCAGTACTGCAGAGAAAACAGAGCCTTCCGGAACAGCCCTCAGTCCTTCCCATGGCAAGCTGGACAGAACCGTTCTTGTTTGGACCCGTGACAGTTCAGAGAAAGGCCACAGAAGTTTTGGGGTCCATTGACAATAAAGCGACAGTGAGATCATTCTTTTTAAAGGTGCCTGTTTGTCCCGTAGAAAGTTTATCTGAAATCAGTGTATTGTTTATTTTAATTTTTATTTCTTTTTTGCTAACTTCTAAATGGTATCTAACAAAAACAGCCATAGTGTTCATCAAAATACCATATAGGGATCCCTCAGTCATGAAAATCCTGGAAATAGTAAGAGATCCTAAAATTGGGATTTCCAAAACTGGAAAACTAAACAACACTTTTGTTTATGGACCAATTCTCACTATTAACTAGTAGTTTATTAGCATGCATATTACTAGCATATTAGCTGATTATTAAAGCACATGTAAATGCCTTATTCTGCATGACCATATTTCAGATCCCATAACCCTGCCCCATACCTAAACTTAACAACTACTGTACCTTACTAATTATTAATAAGCAGCAAATTAGGAGTTTAGGCAAAACTTGCAGTTGATAGTTATAGTGCGAATTGGCCCCTAAACTATATATAATTGTAAAAAAAAAAAATTTACATTTTGGAAAATTATAGTATATTATACTATATGTATGTATTGTACAAACTATACAGCCTACGATAACCAGTAATCAAGTATGACTGGAAAAAACCATAGAAACTTTGTGGAAATTGAATGGGATAGAATTATGTTTTGTTACTGCTACTTTCCTTCAAAATAAAAAAGAGAGAGAAAAGTTTTACAATGATATTTTATTGGAAGCCATAGTAAACATGTAAGAGTATGAATGGAAATGTCTTTGTTGGAGAGAGTGTTGAGTCAAACGAGGAGAGCCGACAATGTGAGCTGTTATATTTAGCGCTGCACTCTGAATATTGCAAAACAGCCCTGTTACCATAGCAACATGAACACAGCAGAGCTGTCCTGTCATGCACGCTCAAACACACACATCACACATCGCGGCGTCATGCACCTGTCAATCTGATTGTGTTCGGATGCTGAACTGAAATCTCTGATTGGTTCTCACATTTTTGATAACGTCATCAAAGCACATTTGCTCTGCTGTGCGCCTGCGTTTGTTATCTAACATTCCACCATCTCTCTCTCTCTCTCTCTCTCCTCTTCCCTGTGGAGCCCAACCACTTCCAAACTTGGCCAGTCCTGCGCTGACTGTTTCCATGGAAACATATTCACTCATTGGCAGGACTACAGTGAAAGGAAAAAAGCTGGCACTGCGAGTGTGTGTGTGTGTGTGTGTGTGTGTGTGTGTGTTATCAGAGTTGCTAGACTGACGCTATGATTAGCATGCATCTTTAGCAGTGCACCTGACATGCCACAGTGGGCGGCTTTCTGTGCAAATCACTGTGATCAGACCACACACACACAGACACAAGGCCTCGCTGAAACTGTAGAATAGCATAGTGACCTCGTTTTACAATTGTGATGGGCTAATGGGCTAGTAAGACTTTGCATAAGAGCCTATAATGTGACCAGGTTGCTCCCTTTGAAAACTGGAGAGAGTTGAGCATTACCTGACATGCCACAGTGGGCGGCTTTCTGTGCAAATCACTGTGATCAGACCACACACACACACACACACAGACACAAGGCCTCGCTGAAACTGTAGAATAGCATAGTGACCTCGTTTTACAATTGTGATGGGCTAGTAGTGATGTAAGACTTTGCATAAGAGCCTATAATGTGACCAGGTTGCTCCCTTTGAAAACTGGAGAGAGTTGAGCATTCACAGGGACGAGTCAGCATGCAGTTTGGTTATATATTTGTGTAAGCATGTGTGTGTGTGTGTGTGTGTGTGTGTGTGCATTCCCATTACTTAGGATGGTCGGCCCTCTCCGCTTGACTGCGTCTCACACAAACAGAAATTCATCCTCCTTCACACATTTACCTTTTAAAGTAGGATGGAAGGAACTACTATGAAGTGTTTTTCTGAGATCTGATTGGTGAATACGTGCAAGGAAGAAAATGAGAAAGTGTGAAGACTTCTTTAATTGTAAAAATTCAGAAAGTTTTTTGTTTAGCATTAAGTTGGGGTTAAGTTATTGTGTTTATAAGTAGCTGTATATGAAAATAACACAAGTCTATAGAATGTCTTCATTAGGTTCGTAAATGTGTGTGCTTGTATACATCAGGTTTTGCCATCATTGATGGACTGAATAGGATAGTAAAACCTAAAATCACTTACAATGCTGTCTTCAGTTTGATTCGATTTAATGAATCATTCAGAAAGACTCACAATCTCTGGAGGAACCAGTTTGAATCATTCAGATGAATCGTTCTCTAAATAAACTGACTGAATCTATTAAAGCAGCTATTGATTCAGATGGATTCATTCGGTGAAGGATTCAGCATATGACTCACTTACTAAATGCATGTTATATCAAAAGCCTTGTGAAAAAGAAATACACTTTAGCATACTTATAATATACTGAAAAAACATGCTTAAGTGTGTACAGTTTACAGTAATTGCATGTTAGAATTAAAGTTTTAATTTATATTAAATGCAGTTAGTTGCTCTTAAAAGTGCAAAGTGACCCACTTAGTAGGACTTCAGTACATCTTTGTATCTATTTTCATAATTATTTGGTTAAAGTGTACTGCCGAATGTACTGACAAGCAGTTATGGCAAACTAAAATATACTTTAATGTCATATTGAAACTTGCATGTTAATATATTTGTAATTACACATTTGTAATGACGAAGTTGCAATTTAGCACATTTAAAGTATTTAACCTATATTTCAATGAGCACACTACATTTAAAATTATAATCAAATACTTTACTTAAGTCAACACATGTAAAATAAATGTACTTCTTTAAGTGCACGTATTTAAAAGCATACTTAAGTTTGTTAAGAAACATAGTCATGAACGTGGAAAAAGTACAAAAGTTAGTTTTTGCTTTTAAATATATATTTTAGTCAAAAAACATTTTTATTCTCCCTCTCTAGGTTGCTCCTGGCATGTAAAATCGATGAAAGCAGTGATTTCATGCTGTCTGTCAGATTGCTAGACTGACGCTATGATTAGCATGCATCTTTAGCAGTGTACCTGACATGCCACAGTGGGCGGCTTTCTGTGCAAATCACTGTGATCAGACCACACACACACACACACACAGACACAAGGCCTCGCTGAAATTGTAGAATAGCATAGTGACCTCGTTTTACAATTGTGATGGGCTAGTAGTGATGTAAGACTTTGCATAAGAGCCTATAATGTGACCAGGTTGCTCCCTTTGAAAACTGGAGAGAGTTGAGCATTCACAGGGACGAGTCAGCATGCAGTTTGGTTATATATTTGTGTAAGCATGTGTGTGTGTGTGTGTGCATGTTAAATTTGGTATGTGTGTTAATTTGATTAGATCGTCGTCTTAAATGAGCTGTGTTTATAGATGCAGGCTGATGTCTGGAGTTCCCGGAACAGTGAAGTTGTGCTGATTTTGTTGCTGATTGGCTTGGTTATCAATTGTTTATTGTGTGTATTAGTGTCTGTTATATGACATCAGTCTGTCTGTGGTGGACTTGTTAAGGGCAGTGGTGTTTTTAAGGTGGACTTTTGTTGATCAGTGGCATTGTGTGCATGTTAAATTTGGTATGTGTGTTAATTTGATTAGATCGTCGTCTTAAATGAGCTGTGTTTTTAGATGCAGGCTGATGTCTGGAGTTCCCGGAACAGTGAAGTTGTGCTGATTTTGTTGCTGATTGGCTTGGTTATCAATTGTTTATTGTGTGTATTAGCGTCTGTTATATGACATCAGTCTGTCTGTGGTGGACTTGTTAAGGGCAGTGGTGTTTTTAAGGTGGACTTTTGTTGATCAGTGGCATTTGTGGGGGATTTTTAGGTTACTGATGTTTGAAGTGGGTTTATTTTGCTCTGTCACTTGAGTTTTCTTTTTGTCAGTGCTGCTTGTGCTTGGTCAAATATAATATGCCATTTTGATTTAAATTAAATATGTAAATTTAATATAATATTTTATAACATTCTATTTAAAAATATTTGAATTTATTTATATAATATTTTTAAAATATATAATTAATTGAATCCATTTATTTAAATTTAATTAATTTTAAGTGTTCCTGTGGCTCAGTGGTAGAGCATTGCGTTAGCAGCGCAAAATGTTGTGGGTTCAATTCCCAGGGAAAAAAAGAAAATCAATTTCAGGCTATAAAAAATGTATAGCCTGAATGCACTGTAAGTCACAAGATTGATTTTCTTTTTTTTTGTGCTAAGCATCATGTGTTAGTACCAAAATCTACTGGAATACTGTCTGTAAGAGTTAGTCGGATTGACCTTTTGTGTGTTTCTTACAAAGAGCTGTAAATTTACATGTAAAGTCAGCAAAAAGATTTTCAGATCAAGTTAAGTGCAGACTGTGCAGTCAACATTCAGAAAACCTAAATATACTACAAAAAAGATTTTTGTCCAGTACAAAGATATGGAATCATTTACTTGAGGAGAAAATTACATTTAAGTCTTTGAATCAGTGTAAACATATAATCATAACCAAACCAAAATTACAGAACTTCAGTGAAGGCTGATTCTCAGGAAACAGTGCCATTTATAATAAAAAAATTATACTATTATATTATATAATATATAAAATAAAATACTTTTTGTGATTTATTTTAAAAGTAACACTGCCGAACACTTTGAAATATTGGAAAATACTTAAGTAGTACCATTGTAATAGAAAACACAAGATTTTTTTTTATTATTATTTTTCAAATAAGTTTCTTCTGCTCACCAAGGTTGCCTTTATTTGATTAAAAATACAGTAAAAACTGTAATATTGTGATATTATTACAATTTAAAATAACTGTTTTCTGTTTTAATATATTTTAAAATGTAGTTTATTTCTGTGATGTAAAGCTGAATTTTCAGCACAATTACTGGAGTCTTCAGTGTCACATGATCATTCAGAAATCATTCTACTATTTATTATTATCATCAAACTTGATAGAAGTTGTGCTGTTTGTGTGTGTGTGTGTGTGTGTGTGTGTAAACCATGACACCTTTTTTTAGGATCCAATGATGAATAGAAAGTTCAAAGGAACAACATTTATTTGAAAAATAATAATTATAAAATCTTTACTGTCACTTTTGTGCAATGTAATGCACCCTTACTGAATAAAAGTATTAGTTTTTCCAACAAAAAAAAAACACATTTGAATGAGAGTCTCTCTTTTCTTAACAAATCCTCTTTTTGTGCTTCTAATCCGTAAATGGCGTTTTGTTTTGTTTTGTCTCCGCGTTCGTCACTAATCACGCAACGCCGACGTCTTACGTCATCCGCCAGAACGGCTTCCGCGTATGTCAGTCAGCAGAAGTGAGAACTTCTGCTACTGTGAATGAGCGAGAAGCAAGGGAGCGAGGAGACATAGGAGAATCCGTGAAGAAAGTCTTTCTATACAACAAGACCCGCACACGTAGCAGAGGGTATAGACGAACAATACCAGACGCTAGACATTGAGAAACACAGGGCTTAAGAACTTAGAACCAAACGAGACACAACTGGAATAAAACGCATCATAAACATAGGAAACACCTGGGAACAATGAGGAATCCGTGAAGAAAGTCTTTCTATACAACAAGACCCGCACACGTAGCAGAGGGTATAGACGAACAATACCAGACGCTAGACATTGAGAAACACAGGGCTTAAGAACTTAGAACCAAACGAGACACACCTGGAATAAAACGCATCATAAACATAGGAAACACCTGGGAACAATGAACATAATCAGACATGGGAGAAACTAGAGCAGGGGTGGCGAACGTCGGTCCTGGAGAGCCGCAGCCCTGCAGAGTTTTGCTTCAATCCTAATCAAACACACCTGAACAAGCTAATCAAGGTCTGAACGGTTACTAGGAAGCTACAGGCAGGTGAGTTTTAGTTAGGGTTGGAGCTGAACTCTGCAGGGCTGCGGCTCTCCAGGACTGGAGTTCGCCACCCCTGAACTAGATCATGGGGCATGTGGGGAAGGAAAACACAAGACACGGAACAAAACACAACAAAGTCAGGAGCACAGGACTGACACATTGTGATTAACCAATCAGATTTGAAGAACCAGTTTACAGTTTTTGTGAAGTTTAGGCTTATAATCAGAGTTTGGTGCTTGTACATCAGTGTCATTCATCTATCATTTCCTCTGATTTTAGAGATTACTCATGGTTAAGGTTAGGTTTAGGTGTAGGGATATGGTCAAGACTACATTTTTGGATTAAAATGTTGTTCCAGGGTCAACAAAATATGTTGACCTAGGAACACCTCTAACTCAGCAAAAACAGGACGTGCTGTGCCCTCTATAATATAGGACCAGTGACTAGTCGATGTCAAGCTTAAAACGTCATGGCAGAGCATTGAAGTCGATTAGTCGGTGCAACCCCCAATATATATATATTACACTTTTAAATTAACATACAATAAAATACAATAAAATGAAATAAATACATAAACTAAATTAATTATTTTAAATATAATTTGGGTTACAAACATAAGACAGTAAAATATATTAAATGATTTTAAATAAGCATTGTCCAGTTAGTCCAGTTAGGAACATGTCGTAACTACACCATCTGGTCCCATCTTTCTCTATTGGTAGACATTCAAAAGTAGTGCTATATTCTGTTGTGATGCTCATAGATAGCTTTATATAGGTATTATAGACCTTCTTGATGGGAACACATGATACCTTCAAATGGCATAATTTCCTGAGAATATCTCGAAGACATCTGTCATATTTCAATAATTTATTAATTTTCAGTACAAACAAAAATCAAGCCAAACAGCCGATGATTTGTTCATGTAGCTTTCAATGCCAACTCAAAAATCACATTCACATGTTGGAATAATTGCATGAATGAATGAATGAATGAACGGGTGTCATTAAACAGGTGACTGAATGAATGGGGAGATGATGTGTAATGATTTGTAATAATAAATGCAGTGCACCGAGTCCAGACTAGCTCACATCATCATTCTGTCTGTCTGTCTCATTTCAACTGTTATAGTCGCTTGTTCTGCCTGTTTCCTTTCATTTTTCACACTCACTGTACTGTTTCTTTCTAGAGTTTGATACTTTTGCTGAAAATGTCTTTGATCTAAACTTGACTATCATGTTCTTCTCGCTGTTTGTTGTTGTTCTGATTTGTGTGCCGTTTTCTGATTTCTGTTTTTCTCCTCGATGCATGCTAGTCTCACAAGCGACTTTCCAAAGTAAGCATTTCTCTCTTCTGTTCTGTCGTCACTCAGTCTCTCACTCTGTGTATCTGTATTCCTGCTCCAGTGGCCGTTCTGAAGTCTGTTTCAGTGTTATTGATGTGTCTTGTCTGACTCTGTCTGTTTGTGTGAATGCAAGTGTGTGTCCAAGTGTTTGTTTAAAAAATACACACATAGACTCATTTCTCTCGTTAGCAGGCATATTTGTCACTTATGATTCTGCATAGTAGTATGATAATAGGTTAAAGAGATAAAGTAAGACGTGTTTGACTTAGGGCTGCATGAGGATTGTTAAACTGATTACTTAAAAAAAAAAAAAAAATCAGAATTATTGTACTTTACATAAGCACCAATCATGAGAATGCCAACTCATATGCAGGGTCATCTACTTTATTATATGTGACCCTGGAGCACAAAAGCAGTCTTAAGTCGCTGGGGTATATTTGTAGCAATAACCAAAAATACATTGTATGGGTCAAATTTACAGATTTTTCTTTTATGCCAAAAATCATTAGGATATTAAGTAAAGATCATGTTCCATGAGGATATTTTGTAATTTTCCTACCGTAAATATATCAAAACTTCATTTTTGATTAGTAATATGCATTGCTAAGGACTTCATTTGGACAACTTTAAAGGCGATTTTCTCAATATTTTGATTTTTTTGCACCCTCAGATTCCAGATTTTCAAATAGTTGTATCATTAAACCATGTATTGAACCATACATCAATGGAAAGCTTATTAATTCAGCTTTCAGATGATGTATAAATCTCAATTTTGAAAAATTGACACTTAAGGCTGGTTTTGTGGTCCAGGGTCACATATTTGTCATATGCATTAACCCTCGCTATATTATGAAAACTAGTAAAACCTTTAGAAAATCAAAATGAAATTCCAAATTCTGTTGTTTTTTGTATTTTTCATTAAAACGAGAAAAAAGACTTTGTATTGTGGCACAGAGGTTGCTTAAGTGCATTTATTCAGCAATCACATTCTCAAACAACATAGTCAAGACTGACGCTTGCATTTATTATAGATTGTCATTGAGATGATATGCGCACAGATTTAATTGCAAAACGTTGTCAGGTTGGGAATATTAAGCCACACTTGAGAAGAAAATGTATCCATTTAAGAGAAAAGCTCTTATTGGGGGATTTAAACACTTGACATCTGGCAACCTCCAAGCATGAATGCTCATGGAGGTTTGTTACCAATTACCAAAGATAATGAAAATGTCAAATGAAAAAAAAAGGCCACTTTCGAAGATGATTAAGAGAAGAAGAAATCGTGGTTATTAGTCATGCAGCTATAATTTAACTGGTCATGTGATTTCACCATGAGAGGACCAGCCTCATGTATATGAAATAGATTTTACTAGGTGATTTTGCTACTCTGATATGATTATTCATCTTTTGTAACTGCATACATTTATTTGAATTAAACATTTGACCTGCAGGCTTATAGCAGTTTTAGTCTATGTGTCTTTTCATTGATCACATCAGAGTGCCGTGTGATGAATCGGCTGGATAACCGACAGTGGTAGTCCCATGAGTCCCCTGTCTTTCCAGACAGATGATGATTTATGTCTGTTGATTTCCAACAGAGGGAATTCCCAACCCAGGAATTGCCTGACTATGCTTCCTGTAATCAATAAAGTATTAATCAATAATGTAGTAAAAGAGTGCGTATATCTTTAAATTATTAATCAATGCCATGCAAAACAGAGCATAAGGCTTCCTTTATTTCTTTCTCTGTTAAGCACATGAGATCAACAGAGCTTGCAGTTAACATGTTGCTATACTAATGTCTTGAAGACTAGACAAAAATATAGCACCTGCAAACCTACATTAAATATGCATTTTAAGTAGTTTTAATTCCAATTATTTGTAGATTGGATTTAGTTAGAATACTTAAATGAATTAGTTTGGCATATATTGATGATTTATGGCATTTTTCTCAACTCTACCGTATTGGATTGGATTGCATTGGATTTATTTATTATAGACATTGCTCTTGACTCCATTTATTTATTTACTTATTTAGCAATAAAGCCTTGTAATTAGGCTAAAATAATGCATATTACAAGACTTCAAAATGTTACTGTCTCTGGAGCACAGGAGTGTGTTTAAAATGCTTTTAGGTAGGCAGCTTATTAAGTTTTTGGCAGTAAAGCATGCTAGCAACACCAAGGTTATGGGTTCGAGAACGCACACATGCATTCTAAGTCACATTGGATAACAGAATTTTGGATGCATTAAATGAGCTTCCAGTTTCTCCTTGTTTTTTTCATTTTTTTTCATTCTGTTTTCATTGCTTTACAGTATGACAGATTAAACCTGATTAAAGTAAGCATTTAATGTTGTTCTTCATTTGACCCCTGACCCTTAAAATAAGGCTATCTTAAGTGTTAGTTCATACATGTAGCACCCCTCAACTGTTCTTCCAATCCCTTCCTCACCTGTCTCTCTCTCTCTCTCTCTCTCTGTCCACATGTACACACGAGAGACCTGTCTCACACCTCTCTTGAATTTAGATCAGATTAGCCTACATTAAACTATCCAATCCCTGAGCCTTGATGGAATAGACCAGTATGTGTGTTAGCAGGTCTGTGGGAGTTGATCTATAGGCTTTAAAGGGTCATGAACGAGACACAACTAGAGCTCTGTGCTAGCTAATCTGTCAAAGTAGCACACACACACACAGCATGTTTGGGGTAGTAGGCTAATTGAATAGCTTGTTGGCTGACACACACTTCTTGTCATTTTGTCTGCTCACTTTAACCTAGACTATAAAACAAGAGAGACCATTATGTGTCGTACCTCTTCAAACTAATATAGTATCAGAGTTTGTCCCCGCCTTAAGTTATTTGCTTTAAGTTTCTTTTCATTTAGGTGGTGGTCTGTAGTAAAGAAGATATGTTTATGTTAATCAAGATAAGTTTATCACTATAATGCAGACTGTTTTTGTTCTATCTCACACTACCTTTTCTGTTGACGTTGAAATTGTTTTCCATGTCTTCCCGAGTTGTTTACTAGGCCTGTAATCATGCCTTCAATGACCCCATGCAATGATTTCAATGAATGCAAATGTATGTCCTGTGTTGATGTGCATCCGTGTACAAGCAGGAAGTTTGGGTGGGATATATCAAAGGGTTTGTCCTTTTACTTCACGTTTAGACTAGAAAGCCATATTGCGAGATAAAAAGTGCCACAGTGCAGTATAAAATCACAGCGATGAAATATAAAGTCACTTTGAGAGATAAACAGTCATAATTATGAGAAATAAAGTCACTTTGTGATATGCAATGTATGAATTACAAGAAATAAACTCACATTGTGTAATATAATGTCATAATTCTGAGAAATAAAGTCAATCTGTGAAATGTGTCATAATTACAAGAAATAAAGTCACTTTGCACAGATATGAAGTCATAGTTACGAGAAATAAAGTCACTTTGCAGAGATATGAAGTCATAGTTACGAGAAATAAAGTCACTTTGCACAGATACAAAGTCATAGTTACGAGAAATAAAGTCACTTTGCACAGATACAAAGTCATAGTTACGAGAAATAAAGTCACTTTTCACAGATACGAAGTCATAGTTACGAGAAATAAAGTCACTTTGCACAGATACAAAGTCATAGTTACGAGAAATAAAGTCACTTTGCACAGATACAAAGTCATAGTTACGAGAAATAAAGTCACTTTTCACAGATATAAAGTCATAGTTACGAGAAATAAAGTCACTTTTCACAGATACGAAGTCATAGTTACGAGAAATAAAGTCACTTTGCACAGATACGAAGTCATAGTTACGAGAAATAAAGTCACTTTGCACAGATACAAAGTCATAGTTACGAGAAATAAAGTCACTTTGCACAGATACGAAGTCATAGTTACGAGAAATAAAGTCACTTTGCACAGATACGAAGTCATAGTTACGAGAAATAAAGTCACTTTGCACAGATACGAAGTCATAGTTACGAGAAATAAAGTCACTTT